CAAATCAGACGTAATGAAACTCCACAGCTTCTGCACGGCAAAAGAAACAGTCACTAGAGTGAATCGGCAACCAACAGAGTGGGAAAAAATTTTTGCAGTTTTTCCATCTGACAAAGGGCTGATATCCAGAATTTACAAAGGACTCAAACAGATTTACTGGAAAAAAACAAACAAGCATATTCAAAAATAGGCAAAGGATATGAACAGACACTTTACAAAAGAAGACATATATGAGGCCAACAATCATATGAAAAAATGCTCATCATCACTGGTCATCAGAGAAATGCAAATCAAAACCACATTGAGATACCATCTCACACCAGTTAGAATGGCGATCATTAAAAAAATCTGGAGACAACAGATGCTGGAGAGGACGTGGAGAAAAAAGAACACTTTTACACTGTTGGTGGGAGTGTAAATTAGTTCAACCATTGTGGAAGACAGTGTGGCGATTCCTCAAGGCCTTAGAAATAGAAATTCCATTTGACCCAGCAATCCCATTACTGGGTATATATCCAAAAGACTATAAATCGTTCTACTATAAGGACACATGCACATGAATGTTAATTGCAGCACTGTTTACAATAGCAAAGACCTGGAACCAACCCAAATGCCCATTGATGATAGACTGGATTGGGAAAATGTGGCACATATACACCATGGAATATTATGCAGTAATCAGAAATGATGAGTTTGTGTCATTTGTAGGGACATGGATGAATCTGGAGAACAGCATTCTCAGCAAACTGACACAAGAACAGAAAATGAAATACTGCATATTCTCACTCATAGGCGGGTGATGAACAATGAGAACACATGGACAAAGGGAGGGGAGTACTACACACCGGGGTCTATTGGGGGGAAAAGGGGAGGGCCAGTGGGGGGGGGAGCTGGGTAGGGATAGCCTGGGGAGAAATGCCAAATGTGGGTGAAGGGGAGAAAGGAAGCAAAACACACTGCCATGTGTGTACCTATGCAACTGTCTTGCATGTTCTGCACATGTACCCCAAAACCTAAAATGCAATAAAAAATTAAAAAAAATACCAAAAATAAATCTTGCTTTGCCAAAGCACTCTAATTTTATATTACTGTTAAGATTATAATTTTTTTTTTGAGACTGGGTCTCACTCTCTTGCCCAGGCTGGAGTGCAGCATCACAATCTAGGGTCACTGCAACCCGCCCCTTCCAGGCTCAAGCAATCCTCCCACCTCAACCTCCAGAGTAGCTGGGACTACAGGCATGTGCCACTAGGTCCAGCTAAATTTTTCTTGTGTACTTTGTAGAGATAGAGTTTTACCATGTTGCTCAAGCTGGTCTCGAACTCTTGAGCTCAAGTGATCTGCCTGCTTTGGCATCCCAAAGTATTGGGGATTACAGTATTGAACCATGGTGCCTGGTCAAGATTATACATTTTTAACATTACCCTTTTCAACTAAGCAACTACTTTCAATGTGCATTATAGTATTTAGTAAATGTGTAGCTGTTTTTTACTCAGCAATTCCCATAATCTATCAGTCAAGAAGAAAGGGGGTCACTGACCTGGCTTGAGTATCTGCCAAGAAGTAGGGTAGAAGTGGCACTGAGGGAGGCAAAGAGGAAGAAATGATCAGGCAAAACTTACCAGGATAAGGACAGGCCCTGGATCTGGAGGCAGCTGAACACACACAGGGTTTGATTTTAGTACAAAAAACCAAGCAACAGTCAGAAAGAAAAATGAAGAGTTCAATAGCCCACTAAAGCATCATGAAGACTACTTGTATGTATGTATATATTTAAAGACAGGGTCTTGCTGCAGCCCAGGCTGCAGTTAAGTGACACAATCACAGCTCACTGCAGCCTTGACCTCCTGGGAGCAAGTCATCCTCGCACCTCAGCCTCTCAAGTGTCTGGTACTACAGGCATGCACCACTGTGCCCAGCTAATTTTTGTATTTTTTTGTAGAGATGAGATTTCACAGTGTCACCCAGGCTGGTCTGGGACTCCTGGACTCCTGTGATCCACCCGCCTCAGACTCCGAAACTGCTGGGATTACAGACGGTAGCCACTGCACCTGTACCTTTGTTGCTCAGGCCGATTTTAATTCCTGGGCTAAAGTGATCCACGTGAGCCCCCCAAAGTGCTGGGAATACGCTACGGGCCACCATGCCTGGTCTGACTACTTTGAACTCATTTGAACAAAGAGCAGCCACAGAAAGAAATGCTATCTAAACTTAAGCAAAGCCTCCTAAAAATACAGCTGCCACTGACCCATCCTTAGAGTTAAATGGACCTTAGCACCTGGAGGTACAAATACAGCTGCTATTCATCTCCCTCTTGGGAGCTTCCAGCTAGGAAGGATACTGCCCATTAGCATTAGGATGAAAAAGCCCAGTAGAAACCTTTGTATTTTCCCATTGAAGCTCTAAAACTCTTCTTTTTAGTTAGGCTGGTATAAGCCTTTACCTGTGGCTGTTCAGCAAACTACCCCTTGTAGAATTCTTCTGAGTGTGAAATAAACTTTACTCCTGTTAACCTGTCTGTTGTCAACTAATTGGCAGGCCCCCAATCACTTTGACCTAAGTACTTGGTAGGAAAAAGTTTACTCCCAACAGAACTTCAGCTGGAAAAGTTCAGAAGTTGAATTTTAAGCTAAATATTTGGGAGGTAAAAAATAATAATGAGGAAAGCCTTTTGGGATCAAAAATGGTTGGTGAGGTAGGGAGAATAGGCATGTGATCGGTCACCCCTAACACCTCGGACATTTATGGGCAGGGCCATGATGTTGACTGAGTCACTACAGATTAAAACAAGAAGACTAAATAAAATGAACAAAGTGAGGATGGAATAGATGTCCATTTGCTTAATTAGTCTTTAATTCACTGTACATTGTCTGAAGCGTTAAAATATACAACCTTTCTGAATCATCTGTCTAATGAAAACTCAGTAAGAAAGATTAATTAAAAAGATGAAATTATTTATCATCAACAGGTGAAATATAAAAGACGAAACAATAGAAGGGCAAGAGGTGCTTTCCTGATATGCAACATTAAAGTCTTGAAAATAATCAACTGGTTTCTTACTTAAGTAGGATGACCATAAGGATAGGAAGAGAATAGCAGAGCAGAATATATTTTAAATGCCTAGAGGATAAAAATGCACAGCTCTTGCTGAATGAATGTCCAAGAGGCAAGGACACTCTATAAAGTTCAAATCCATTCAATCTAATTATTTGCCCTCTCTTACATTAAGGCCAAAAATGAATATTAACCATTTTTATTAACTATGACCCCCATTTGTTAAATACTAAAACCTGCTAGAGCAAATGTGGTGATACATATTTTGCAAATTATGCATAAAACTTATACAGATAAAGTTATAATATGATTAATAAATTATATAAACTTCTATCATTCTTGCATCAAGTTGTGAAATTACATTCTTAATCACTAAAATTAAGAACTTTGCAGTGTTATCTAATAGCCATGGTTGTAATCATTTGCGTGGTCAGCGTAAGCTAAACTTTATTTATTTATTTAATATATACGGAATAGGCCTAGGTTCTATGGAAATATTACGCCGTTTGTATCTAAGGCACTTGACCATTGTGGATTTTGGAATCATAGGGAGGCCCTGGAACTAATGCTCCTCAGATAGGGAGCCCACAGATATAGATAGAATCTCACTCTGTCACCTAGGATGGAGTGCAGTGGTGTAATCTCTGCTCACTGCAACCTCCGCCTCCTGGTTTCGACTGATTCTATGGCATTAGCCTCCCGAGTAGCTGGGATTACAGGTGCCTACCACCACAGCAGGTTAATTTTTGTATTTTTAGTAGAGGCGAGCTTTTACCATGTTGGTCAAGCTGGTCTTGAACTCCTGACCTGAGGTGATCCACCAGTGTCGGCCTCCCAAAGTGCTGGGATTACAGGTGTGAGCCACTGCTCCCAGCCTTATTTTTGTATTTTGTTAGTAGACATGAGGCTTCACCATGTTGTCCAGGCTGTTTTCAGCCTCCTGACCTCAGGTGATTTGCCCACCTCGGCCTCCCAAATTGCTAGGATTACAGGCATGAGCCACCATGCCTGGCCTACAAAACTTGAAAGAATGGATTACTGTTCCCAATTTGAAAAACCAGTAGCATGAAGAATGAAGAAAGGTAAAGAAAGTATTCTGAGTTCCTATTGCAGCTATTTTCCTCTGAAATTCTATTTGGTTTGGTTTCATCTTTCTGAAACTTTTTCATGACCATCATGTTTGGCTCACCTTCATGTCAATTTTTTCAGTTTCAAATAATCAGAAAACATTTTAAAAATATTTCTGGTCATCACAAAAGTAAGTGTTCATAATTCAGCCTAATTGTGAAGAAATGAAGCTTCTAAACATTAACTCCTCTGTTAGTTATTAAAGAAATAAAATAAAATGATCACATGTGGTTTAGAGATGTCAACACAAGAGAGAAACTTAAATGTTTAAATATTGTAAAAGTTTTGGTCATGACTCTGCCACTAACTTGCCATGTCACCTTATTCTGGTGCTCAGTTATTTCATCAATAAAATTAGACTATTGAGCAGCTGAGGTTTCTCTCTGTATCCATGGGCTTCCTATCTATGGATTCAACCAACTGCAGATCAAAAATATTTGGGGAAAAATACAAATGGCTGCATATATACTGAACACTTACGGAGTTTTTTTCTTATCACTATTCCTTAAACAATACAGTATAATGGGTATTTATGTAACATTTAAGCTATACTAGGTATTACAAGTAATCTAGAAATGATTTAAAGTATACGGAATAGGTCTAGGTTCTATGGAAATATGCCATTTGTATCTAAGGGACTTGACCATTGTGGATTTTGGAATCATAGGGAGGCGCTGGAACTAATACTCCACAGATACCAAGGGATGACTGTACTAGGATTCTATTACACGTCTTTCCAAATATTAGACAACCTAATGTGATTTTGTAAAATTTTTGTATGAGAAATTTTGTACAGGAGCTTTTAAAATAATACTTACATTTTGGCCCACTTATCTAGTTCTTCTTCAAGATATGTTTTAACCATTTTTGGTTGAAGGCCAAGAGAATTTCCCAAGAAATAGATGGCATTTTCATCTTTATTCACTAATGATAAATCAACTGAAATAGAAGAAACGTCAAAAGAAAAAAATTTTCCAAATGGTATTGTCAAGCCAGTACAAACAATTAATATAATCAACTCCAAGAGGGATAAAATGTAACTAAAAATTACTCCCAAGGATGACCTCAGGTCCTCTAAAAAATAATTAACTGTTGCATTTACATTTTAAAATATAATTTAAGACTATAGAGGCTATTATGATGATCTCTGATATTTACTGTGCTCCTTGAGGAAATCCTAATTAGCAACTACTTCCAATCATGAATACCAAAGGATTAGAAAAGAGTTAAAAACAATTTTTTTTTTTAAATAGGAAATACATCAGCCTATCCAATTGTATGAGAAGATTACCAGGATTTAGACCAGTACTATCATCATATTAATTTGTGTTGTAGACATGGCAATTAAAAAATGTAAATAATTATTTATCTAACTAAAGTAGATGTACTGGATTTATGCATTTTCTTCATTCTATATTAATACACACGTATGCATAGTACTAACGCATACAGGCAAAGATTGCTTTCCATATCTACTTCTTATTTATATAAATCAAACTTCAATGATTTTTATCCTCATCTTATCCACTGCAAACAAACCAATCCATATGGTTAAAGCATAGTCCAGAAGGTCACAAGTTAACAATCATACTTGTAAACTACTGAGTTTTCTCTTAATTCTTAGGAAAAAAAAGACTAAGCTGCTCATTTATATTTCATTGGAATCATTCAGTACTATGTTGGTCTTTACTTCAGACTGCTTAATTATACCTCTAAAGACTTTTAAAAAATATATTTCAACAAGATCCCTTTTATGGATATTGCTTTTCATTGGCATCTTTTAAACCTGACCAATAAAAGATATGTACATATTGTTTACACATGAGTGCCAGAAGAGTCTTCTTGGTTAAGATACCCATTATTTTCTGGACCTAGGGTTAGATATGCCTCCCCATTTCCCATCATCAAGGTTACCATGTCAGCCAGGCACTGTGGCCCTTGCCTGTATTCTGGCACTTTTGGAGGCAAAACTGGGAGGCTCACTTGACCCCAGGAGTTCGAGACAAGCCTGAACAACATAGTGAGACTCCATCTCTATTTAATTAAAAAAATTGTTTTAAATAAAATGTTATCACATCAATGGTTCTTGTCATATTGGACATTCCTAATTATCTCCTTTTAGCTTGAGGCTAAGTTTAATGCCTTTGGGAATATATCGTCATTTTTCATGGCTCCTATGCTTTCTCTATACAACCCTTGAGAATACGAGAGCTCTAGGTTCATCCATAACTCCCCGTCCTTTAGTGCCAGCTCCTGCCTCTTGTACATCTCAATGTCTTATAGAATCTGCTGGACAGCTTGTTTAATATATAATGCTTATGAAGTGGGAGAAAGTCCCCTTTCTGAAGCATTTATTGTATTTACCCTTTTTTTCCCAAAGGCTAGTCAGGATTAACGTATACCAGTCATTCTTGTTCATCAGGATATTTTCTGTCTCCTGTACTGACAGTGTTTTAGCATATTGTGGGTTCAATGCTATGATAAATATTTATTGTAGAATTTATGATATTATTACATTTTTCTTTAAAGTAGGTTTTGCCAATTAGGGGATACATTTTTTGCAGTTTCTCAGTGGTCCTCCTGGTTTTCTGTCTCACTCAATGGCCTTTTCACAAAGGTCTTGGAGCTTAGGGGAACTTTCCTTTTCAAAGTGAACTGCTTGATTAACACATCTTGTTAGTAGATCCCCAAATTTTGGTTAAGTCACAGTGCTTCAAGACTATGGCTCACTTTTCTTCTAGGTATCATTTTCCAACTGTTTCTTTTAGTGCCTTTGCTTCTTGTTCTCTGCAAAGCCTTCCTCCATTGAATTTAACCTGATCTTATTAGGGGAGGAAAAGGGAGGTAAAGTGTCTCAACTTCTTCCTCTTAATCCATACCGTCCAGATCTACTCTGAGAAAACACTGAGAGGTATCATGATCTGGAGATCCTGTGGGTTTACGTTCAGATCAGATCATTTGCTGCATTTATTCTATTAACACCCAGCAGGCAGGATCTTTAACCAGTACCCTTGACTTTTTCTGGGAAAAGTCAGAAAGTAAATATTTCAGGCTTTTTAGGCCATGTGGTCTCCATTGCAATTCCTCCTTTTTATTCTGGTAGGATGAAAAAAGCCATAGATAAATAAATGTGATAGTGATCCTAAAATGTTTATTCCAGAAAGAAAGGAGAGTTTCCTGAGCCTTGCCTGAGGGTCACGCTTTAAATTCTGGCACAGATTGGGGGTGTTAAAAGAGTTCATCAGTTCTCCCTATCAGCCAAGTCTCCACATTCAGTAAATTCTTGAGCTGGGAGTACTTGCGTCATGTAACATGTCCCCTAGTTTACTAGGACTTCTATACCAAAGTTACAAAACTGGGTAACTTAAACAGAAATTTATTGTCTCACAATTTTGCACACTCTAAGTCCAAAATCAAACGTTGGCAAGGTTGATTCCTTTCAAGCACTGTGAGGGAAGAATCTGTTCTAGGCCTCTCTGCTTGGCTTATAGATGACCATCTTTTTGTGCATATGGCCTTCTCCCAGTATGCCTGTGTGTTTCCCAATTTCCTCCTTTTATAAGAACATCACAACATATCGAATTAGAGTCCACTCTAATGACTTCGTTTTAACTGGATTATTTTTTAAAGACATTCTTAGGCACAGGTGGTTAGGCTGTCAACATATGAATTTTTAGGGAACATAATTCAACTCATAGCACTCTGCTTAAAGGTTCACTTGACTTCCAACTTGTTTATGAGCTCAAGAGTTTTAGCTTTTGACAAACAGGGCTTGCTCCAGTTAGTCCTTAAGTCAACAGTGTTAGAGCCATTCTTCTGGAATGCTCCTTTCTCTGAAAAAGCTACAGTACGACTGCTATAAAGCTCATGGTTCTGGAAACTCATTTGATTGCTTGGGGAGCATTTTAGTGCATCAAAAATGTCCACCACTGTGAGCCTTATGAGCTTATTCTTTTAGTTGATATGAAGCTTAACCTGGGAACCAGTTTCAAAATATCATTATCACTTCAGATTTAAATCTCCCCAACCCCAGCTCATGCCTGACTTAAATTCAGAAAACTACAGTTTAGAACAAAGGAATGTGTCTATAAACAATTTGTTTCTCTTGCTTCTCACTGCTGCTACTTCTAATTCCTCCAATGGAGTGGAAAAAGAAAGGCAAGAAAACCTTAGTCCAGCTTTGGTGCTTTTTGATTAGCTCTTTCCCTTATGAGTTACATTTGGTGAGTTCGTTAAAATCTCCTTCCCACTGGAGACCTCCCATCTCCAGTTTTCTGAGCTAATTAATGCATACTTCAGCTGATGTCTCATGATCTGCTCACTACCACCACTTCCCACCTCATGCAATATATTTCTAGACTATTTATGCAAAAATTTCCACAACCCAACAAGCAGACTTCTCAGGTATGACCCTTTTGAAGTATCTTTTGTTATAGAAGTTAAGAAATTATTTTAGGGAGATAGAGACAAAAAGAGGTTCTTGGGAAGTTTTTGTTTCCTTTAAAGCAGCTCCAGAAATGTTTTTTGTCTAGCAGGAAATCCCCAGCTCTTAGAGCCAGGCAGGCAAGCTTTAATATGAGATGCAGGCTAGAAACTGGGTCCACCCAAACATGATGATTTCCATCATCTTCCTCCTGTCCCCAAATGTGCCTGGCAACATGGCCGCCCCCCTATATCCCCACCCACATGTGCAGAACATCAAGGTGCCCTGTATTTGCATATTAAATGGCTAGGGTGAAAGGGCCAGTTTTTTTATGGGTCTACCTGAATGACATACCTCATCAAACCAATCCCTGGGCTCTATGCAAATCAAACAATGTCTCCTCCAGCCTCCTAATATAACTGGCTGTTTTCCGAGGCACTCAGGGTTTCCTGTCTTGGCTTTGACACCTCCCTCTGTCCCAGGGGGGCTGTTTCTTCCTTTCTTGCCTATTGAACTCTCTGTGCTGGCTGGGCATGGTGGCTCCTGCCTCTAGTCCCAGCATTTTGAGAGGCCAAGGCAGGTGGATCACAAGATCAGGTGTTCGAGACCAGCCTGGCCAATATGGTGAAACCCTGTCTCTACTAAAAATACAAAAATTAACCTAGTGTGGTGGCACATGCCCATAGTCCTGGTTACTTGGGAGGCTGAGGCAGGAGAATAGCTTGAACTTGGGAGGTGGAAGTTGCAAGAGCTGAGATCACATCACTGTACTCCAGCCTGGGAGACAGAGGGAGACTCTGTCTCAAAAAAAATTAATAAATAAAAATAAAAATAAACTCTCTGTTTCTTAAATCCACTCCACATGTGTCCGTGTCATTTTATCTAAATTGGCACAAGACCAAGGACCCTGGTGTTCCTCCAGTCACTGGAGCCGTATCATTTTCATTATGCTACTTTTCAGTGGGTTCACTTTTCTCAAAGGAAATGCTGGCATAGGTCGGAGAAATTATGGGTTCGTTTCCACCATTACAAAAAAGTGAGTGTCACAATACTGCAAGTTACACAAATGTTTTGGTTTCCCAGTGCATATAAAAGTTATGTTTATACTTTACCATAGTCTATTGAGGGTGCAATAGCATTGTTTCTAGAAACAATGTCCATATCTTTATTTTAAAAATACATTGTTGCTCAAAAATGCAATCAGTGAGACTTCAGTGAGTCATAAATGTTTTGCTGGCAGAGGGTCTTGCCTGAATATTGATAGCTGCTGACTTATCAAGGTGATGGTAGCTGAAAGTTGGAGTGCCTCAGGCAATTTCTTAAAATCAGACAACAGTGATTTATTGCACTGACTCTCCTTTCACAAGATCTTGGAGTTCAGCTGGGTGCAGTGGCTCATAGCTGTAATCCCAGCACTTTGGAAGGCTGAGGTGGGTAGATCTCTAGGTCAGAAGTTTGAGACCAGTCTAGCCAACACAGTGAAACCCTGTTTCTACGAAAAATACAAAAAGTTAGC